ATAACTTCAGCCAAGCCAAGAGAAGCATATGATGCAACAACTATGCTAAAGCTCAGCAAGTCTGTCTCTCATCAGTGACCAGACTGAAGGCAGGCTAAGAAAGATATGTGTGGCATTTTGAGTAACATGGAAGAAATGCAGAGCATAAACCTTTTTGCACAAGAGCAGCAGGAACTGGAGAGATGATACCCTCGACTGGGTGCTGGAACAGATCTAATATACCTTTCTGACTTTTCCAAGCTCCTTGCCTGATGTGAAAGAGAAGTGGGAACAATTTTTGTGATTTTGGAGGCAGCAATGCAAAAAATAAAATGACTTGGTGTACACCGTAGAACTTCATATGACCTTTACATAGACTATCCCAGATGCCCACCATTCACCCTAAAGTGGTCTGATAAACCCACTTCTATAGGGTAACACTAATTTCTAACCAAGTGCTAGAAGCTCAATTCTACTGCTACATAAGCAAGTCAGGTATCTATAACTAGGTTATCTCTACTTTACTGCAAAGCAAATGTCACCTTTTGAACCTCAGGGGTGTTCAATACAGGTCATACTTTCAGTAGATGCAAACAAGATTAGAACAAATTGGCCAATTCACAGCACCAGTCACTGTGATAATACTATCTTGTTAACAACAATTAGTCCATCCCCATGAGAAGGATGAAAGAAACCCTCACCTCTAACTAAGTCTGATCTAGACTCTTTGGCAGAGAATGACCTGTTCATCTTAGGTACAGTGGTGCCTCGCTAGACAATGATAATCCATTCCACTGAAATCGTTGTTTAGTGAAATCATTGTCTAGCGAAACGCATTTCCCCATTGAAACGCATTGAAACCTGTTTAATGGGGAAGAATCATTGTTGTCTAGCGAAGATCGGCCATAGGAAAGCCGCTTTGCGAACCGCCGATCAGCTGTTTAAATCGCTGTCTTGCGAAGCTTAGGTCCTGAAAACACCTGTTTGCGAGTGCAGAGGGAGCTGTCAAAATCATCATCTAGCAAACATTGGTTTGCGAAGCAGGGACCAAACATTGTCCAGCGAAATTCCCCCATAGGAATCACTGTTTTGCGAATCACTATAGCAATCGCAAAAAGCCAATGTCTAGTGGAAAAACTGTCATGCAGGGTAACTGTCTAGCGAGGCACCACTGTAAATAGGATAAAAGCACTGTTAACTGGTGACCGAATGTATCAAATGTGCAGCTGAATGGATGTCATGTGGTTATATTCCTGTATACATTTGACCTCTACTGAATGAAAATGAGAATCTGCTATGCCTGGCGTTTCATGACCTTTTGACTCCAGGAATTCCCCAACACAAATACAAGCAGGTGCATACTTGTTAGTCATGCATACATTTCCCAGCTGAGATCTGGAGATGCAACACTAACAGTCACCTTGAAAGAGAAACTTCTCTTGCAGCTGAATCCGGTTAATGGATTGTGGAAACAACAACATTATCAAAGGGGAGCAATACTACTATAAGAGAGGGAAGTGCAACATATACCAAATTACTCAATTTCACAATCACTCCTCTTTATGTCTCAACTCACATCAAAAGAGAGAAGTAACTACAGAATTCCGGTAATTCCTAACCAATGTGGTGAAACCTGCAAATAGTTAAAGATAGTGTTTATATCATTTTAGTTCACCATATCAAATTCCCAGAAATGACAGCTGAATTGGAATGAAGTAGAGGGATGTGGTGGCGCTGCGGGTTAAACAGCAGAAGCCTCTATGCTGCAAGGTCGGAAGACCAGCAGTTGTAAGATCAAATCCACACTACGGAGTGAGCTCCTGTTGCTTGTCCCAGCTCCTGCCAACCTAGCAGTTTCAAAGCATGTAAAAATGCAAGTAGATAAATAGATACCACCATGGTGGGAAGGTAACGGCATTCCGTGTCTAGCCGTGCTGGCCACGTGACCATGGAAACTATCTACAGACAAACGCTGGCTCTACAGCTTGGAAATGGGGATGAGCACCGCCCCCTAGAGTTGGACACGACTGGACTAAATGTCAAGGGGAACATTTACCTTTAGAGAGACTATAAGTGTTTCAATGATGTAAGAATCAGCAATATCTTGTATTTTAGTTACATTGTCAATAGCAGTACTGATAAAGGAGGGGGGCTTTGTTAATTTTTAACTTGTGAAGTATAACACTGACGAATACTGTGCCAGGGGAAAAAAAGCTGGAATACAGGTCTCTCTAATACGAGATACTTGCTCACACCAATAGCACAAGCCAAAATACAACTCTCCATGTTTTGCCTATGATCACAGAACAGAGCATTTAAACTGTATGGACAATTGGTATTTAAAATTATTTTTAACATCTACATGCACTTTCAGCCATTTACCAGCTAGAAAGAACAAATTAATTGAAAACTGTGGATTTAGGATGCTTAATAATTCTACACATGAAACAGAAGGAGTAAATGGCTGAAATCTTATTGCTTAGTATCTTTTGTCACAACAGCAGGGCCACTGAATCACTAGGGATTTGGTGAATCCATATGTTCCATTGATTCAAAGGGATTACTCTATTTGTGACTTACTATGTCATGCAATAAGATTTCAGCCAACGAGTCTAAAAGAGAGGGCAAGGGAATGGGGGGGGTGTATGAAACTCTAGCGCGGTTCAGAAGTTATGCCTGAATTCAGAAGGATACTGGCTGCACATATGCTTCCCTTCTTAACTCCACCCAAAAGACAGACACCTCTATGTTTAAAACAAAAATTTGCAACAAGCTCTGAGGCACAAAGGCTGTAACTAGGCTCAGGTCAATGTGCTTACAGGCTTCCCTGCAGACCTATACACTGGATACACAAAGGTCTGAGAGATGTCTGACTGGGTGGGGCCTATATAGGTATCCCCATCTCCACCCTTTTAGCCCTTCTTGAATTCAGACTTGACATCTAAATAGGGTTTGTGTAGATGGCTGTGTGAGGCAGCTTTGGAGAACTAGCTATCCTCACCAGAGGAGCACATGGTTCCCATGAGATCATCTTCAAGGAAATACAGCCCTTGGCAGGGAACGATACCCTACTCTTTTTCTCTTGGCTGAAATAATGTGGCTTATCATAGTAAGCTGCATTAGAGTAGGCCCATTCATACAGTGGGGAACCATAGGTTCCATTTGATTCAATGGGTCTAATCCAGTTGCTTTACTTTAGTGCACCACTGGTTCTTAACCTTGGGTTACTCAGGAATTTTGGACTGCAACTCCCAGAAGCCGTCACCACCAGCTGTCCTGACTGGGGTTTCTGGGAGTTGCAGTTCAAAAGCATCCGAGTAACAAAGGTTAAGAACCACGCCACAACTAGAGGAAGTCCATTGGATCAAACTTACTCTGTAACTCACAGAGGAGCTGACTCACCAAATCCCCACTGATTCAGTGGGCCTACTCTAGTGCAGCTTACTACACTAAACAACAGGGCTCCAGTCGAAGTGTACTTTAACCATTGTTTAATAGTTTGGGGGCCATAAACATCAACAAGCATTCTTAGTTATTGCTCCAAAGTGTAACCAGAACAAGACATGCATTACAGAATAGGTACATTTAGAGTGGCTTCATTTCTAGAATTCTCTGACACAATGGGAACTGCATCACCCATCAAGCTAGTAGCCACTGGCATGGAATCAGCCTTTTGAACAAATGCGATGCAACCATCCATACTGAGATTCTGAACACCAGCTGCTTGACAATAATCCAATACTGAATTAAAGGTGCTTAAGAAGTCTTTAAGCATAGTTAGTTCTGGCTCAATTCAATTCAAACAACATGTTGCATTCCCTTACAAAGGTTCAACTCCTTTCTATGTTTATTTTAACCACAGTTTGCTGCAGTGCCTAAATCACAGCTGACTGAGCTAACCAAGATTGCTTGAAGCCATGGTCTACAAAACCACAAGCAGACCTAATGGGTCCCAGTTGTCACAGCAAACTACAGTCAAAGCTCCAAGCTGATGGAAAACACTGGACAGGGCATATATGTCTACCTTCAGACTAGAAAGACCAACAGTTGGAGTCAGTATAAGGTTGCTTTCTTTGTTCCTAGTAATCTTGGCCTCAAAACACGTCCTTTCCACACCCACTCTACTGCAGCATAGTTCGGGACGAATTAGCCAAGTAAAGATGGATTACCCCAAGCCAATTCTTTGGAAAATGTCTGGAGTTAAAAGCTCATAAAAACTCAAAGAGTAATGAAAAGATAGATGCTAAATATCAGACTAATAGGTAATGTAAACACTCAGCTTATTTGACAAAAGGCAAAAAAGAAAGCCCAGATATAAAAGAACAAACAGTATCATTAAAATGGAGGTGGATGGGTCACATCGTGAGACAAATAGATGATGGCACAAAGAAATACATCACTGTGATCTTGAATCAGAAGTAACGAATGCAACAAACTGGATTACGGTGGTGCCTCGCTTGACGACGATAATCCGTTCCAGCAAAATCGCTGTACAACAAAATCATCGTCAAACGAATAGTAAAAAAACCCATTAGAATGCATTAAAAACCGGTTAATATGTTCTAATGGGTGAAATACCTCACCGTCCAGTGAAGATCCTCCATAGGGCGGCCATTTTCTGGTGCCTGTAATGCGAGGAATCTGTCTTTGACACAGCGGGGAGCCATTTTGCAACCCAACGATCAGCTGTTTTCTGATGGTTGTTAAGTGAAAAATCGGTTCCTGAAACAGGGAACCGATCATCGTCAAGCGTTTTTTCCTATTTAAACATCCTTTTGCGATCACAAACACATCGTTGTGAAGCGATTTCGTCGTGGAGCGGGGTAATCATTAAGCGGGGCACCACTGTATTTTAAAAGATCAGTAGACTGGCTTGGATTAGAATGGCACAAAAATCAGAAACATATGAAAGTAAAAAGGAAACACCTGTATTAAACATTACACATCAATGGGCTAATAAAGAAGAAATAATCACATGTAGATTTTGAATAACAGTGTTCTTGGAAGAGATGCACACCTACCCTGCATTGTTACTGACAGCGGTTAATCCTTTTACTCCAGTCTTCAACAGAGCTCCTATGAGATTCTCAGGAATTCCACAGAGCCCAAAACCTACACAACACAAATTATTCATCAATGGACAATTCCACGGTTAATGGGGGAAATGCATTCTCAATGCACTCATGAAACGAGAGACTCTGCTCAAGACAACATGAAAGAAATCCTCTATTATGGTGTAGCTCAAGAGAAGGGTTCTGTCTAGATCACACTGATCTTTGCATCAGATTTCCCCTGCACTAGTATCACTTTGCATGTGAAGAAAGCAGCAATGGAGGAGGAAGGGGCTAGATGCTCCCTTGAAGTAGGGTGGGCACATCCAGCAAGGAAGTGATTGAATACTTCTAGATTTGTGCTGTGAAAACCCAGCATAACATCCCACTTCCTTCTTCACAATACATAGGGCAGTACATATCCAGGATAAAAGGGGCCAGTGGAGACCACTAACTGTGGCTCTCTGGTAAGCTACAAGCCCTTATGAGTGTGACTTAATTGGATAGATTACAAAGTGGGGGGGAAAGCAGCACCTGAAACTCAAGAGTTTAGAGAGGACTTTTTAAACCTATAACTCCCACTGGCTGGGAGATTTAACACCCAACCCCCACCAAAAAAAAAAAAAACTTTCATGGGCTCTGTTGAAACTATGGATGGAAACAGAAAGTGTTTAGAGAAGACAAATTTAGAAATTGAGTCCAGCCCCTTCCTATTAAGAGGAAAAAATCTTCCTACAATTTCTCCCTTTTTTGTTGTACAAATGCAAGCTTGTTCCCTTGTTTCACGACATGGCTCATGACTTTTAGATTCATTGAACTATGCACTGGTTCCTCCCTTCTGGAAATATTGGCCTGCAACACCTCTTCTTTGGCAATAAAGCCATCTGCACGATGCTTTCTTCACTTATCTCTTAAGCCTGTTGATATTTCAGAGCAATTCACTTTTACTGTCTTAACAGCTCTTAAGGATCTTCAAGTCTTATCACAAGAACAATCACCCGTTTTCGGAAGACCCACCTTTCCCTCGGAACACGACTTGTAAAAAGTTATGCTCACGCTTACTTTTATCCAAAATCGCACACACATTTTTTCATTATGTGTTTTCAAAAACAAAAGTCAGTACCATTTTTACCTTCCCTGAAAGCTCTCTTACACCTACAGACCTCATGAAAACGAATGGATCGGTGTACAAATAGATACAGTAGTTTTGCAACGATCGTGTGGCTGCTCTTTGTAAACTCCAGCAGGTTCCTCTCAATGCTGTACTTGCTTGAACCATTTGCACCTAGCTCCCAATCTTGTGAAGTGCCTTGTATCTATACTCCTTCTCTCTGTAAAGCCCCTTTCCAATACATCATCCTGCTCTGGAGGTCTGGGAAACTACCTGACACAGGAATTCAGGTGGGATGGAACATTGCAGGGGAAAATATGGAGAAAACATTTTAAGATTGCAAAACCTTCATAGACAAATCAACTTTTTTTCACCGGGTCTATATGTACTGTGTATGTGAGCAGCCATCTGACAGTACAACAACAAATTTAGGCCACTGACATTAGGGGATAGAACACAGTAGCACATGTTGAGGGATGAATGCAAAGCTTGGAAACGCTACCTTTTTAGACTACAGTTCCCAGCATCCCCCTCACCATCATGGCCATTGTCTGGGGGAGATTCTGAAAATTATAATCCCAAAAGTAATTCCTCCAAGTTTTCAACTTCCAGTTAAAACAATAAGACCTTCATCAGATGATCTATGGGGCAAGGATGCTCGATACATGCAAGGGAAGCCAGATCATACCCTGTGCCAGCACTCCTTGACTTCTAAACGGTTACACACTGAGAAAGTGCCCTGAAAAGGGGACTCTGCAACAGCTGTAGATCTCTCCACAGGATTGGAAGCCAGGACAATCTAGATTCTCAATCGTGTGGACTGCCAATAGTCACAGAATCCCTGTCATCCCAAAATGAAAGAGGTGGGGCCTGGAAGTATACTAACACTAGAGAGCAAGGTCAGCAAGCACAGAATGGAAATACATTAATCTGTTTGTAGGGGTGTGCCATTTATTTTCGTTTTTTTACTCCAAACCCCAGAATTCTTGGCATTTCAGCTCACAGATCCATACTGTACCTGCAGAAACCTTCATTTCACTCGCCTGGACAAGGCCTAGGCCTCGAAGGAAGTACTGCATTCTAGGCCTCACTTCCTGCTGCAATGCTCCCCAGGAGAAAGATGGCCTCATTTCCTGCTACAATATTCCCTAGGCATGGTAGTCTTATTGCCCTTTAGGCTGTATAACTGGTGCCTCCTGTTCCCTAGGCATGGTAGTCTTATTGCCCTTGGTGCCTCCCAAAGAATGACCATGTCGAGGGAATACTGCTTTCTCCCAGGAAGCATTGCAGCAGGAAATAAGGTCTAGCATGCTAGGCAGACTCTGAGGCCTCAGATTTGTGTAGGTGAGTGAAGTGAAGGTGCTTGTAAGTTTGGGTCTCTGGGCTGGACCCTCCAGAATTCTGCCTGGGGAATTCTTGGAGAATTCGGGTAGCTCAAGTTCAAAAAGAAAAAATAAAAGAAAACCCTGAATAACACACCGTATCTGTTCCATCAGATACACAAGAAGTGAGAATAATATTAATTATTTGCATAACGGCAAACTCAACATCCTAATTTACAGAGATGAAGGAATAAGCTCTCTGGGACAGAACACTAAATTCTCACACTTACCACCAACAAGGAGAGTGGCTCCATTGGGTATGTCTTTCACTGCTTCCACTGGATCAGTGTAAAATTTGGTATTATGACAGCTGCTAGTAGAAAAATAGCAGCCACATGTCTAGAAAAATAAAAGCAGAAAACTGTCAGAGTGTAATATTGTGTACTCAACCACAATAAAGGAGCTCTGGTAAGTGCATACCGTTAGCACTGTACATACAGTACAATTTTACATAACTGGGGAGGGCAGTCACAGAATACAATACTGAGCTTTCAAAGACGCTCAGCTTTGATCTTTAACAAGTAGCTAGCTCTTGCGCCTATAAATGTATGCTTGAATGTGTTCACACAACTCCCAGTGAAATCCCAGAAGTGGTTTGCAGAAAAAGTTATAAAATAGAATAGAATAACACCTCATTGTCATTGCATATGCAACAAAATCACCAGAGTGCTACCCAGACACTGCATCACTCATTCAGCTAAAACTCCTTATAAACTCCTTACAAAATCCCAACATAATGCAACGGCAACAAAATACATTCACACGCAATCCTACGAGAAGTCAAATTAAGTCTTAACTGAATTTAGCATAAAAATCTAAATAAACTGTACAATTTATTCAGAGTTATAGATTAGCCAGGGTTTCTGCTCTGAAAGACCCAATTCAGCTTACAAGAATTGAAGTACACAAACAAAAAAATACACAACCTACAATCAATTCAGCCAAACTCTCTCAAAAGCTGGGTATTAGGAAACCATCAAAGTCTGGAAACCAAGTGTCCATATTCTCTATTTTATAGTAAACAGTCCTATGTCTTCAGGGCTATTTAGAAGACATCAAGAAGAGGTGGCAAGAATACATAGAGGAATTATACCAGAAGGATCTGGATCTCCCGGACAACCTAGATAGTGTGGTTGATGACCTTAACCAAGTGTCCATATTCTCTATTTTATAGTAAACAGTCCTATGTCTTCAGGGCTATTTAGAAGACATCAAGAAGAGGTGGCAAGAATACATAGAGGAATTATACCAGAAGGATCTGGATCTCCCGGACAACCTAGATAGTGTGGTTGCTGACCTTGAGCCAGAAATCCTGGAGAGTGAAGTCAAGTGGACCTTAGAAAGCATGGCTAACAACAAGGCCAGTGGAGGTGATGGTATTCCAGTTGAACTATTTAAAATCTTAAAAGATTACACACACCAGCAAGTTTATGTTCAAAATCCTACAAGGTCGGCTTCAGCAGTATGTGGACCGAGAACTTCCAGAAGTACAGGCTGGATTTCAAAGGGGTAGAGGAACTCAAGACCAAATTGCTAACATGCACTGGATTATGGAGAAAGCCAGAGGGTTCCAGAAAAAGATCTCCTTCTGCTTCATTGACTACGCAAAAGCCTTTGACTGTATGGACCACAGCAAACTATGGCAAGTCCTTAAAGAAATGGGAGTGCC